GACGCTGATATATTACGTAAATGTGGTTATGCTAAAACTAGTGTTTGCTTCATTTTGTGTAAAAGTACCGATTTATAGGTAGGTAAAACCACTGCTAAAAAAATTTCCTTACACATCAGCGCGTTCTAGTGGCGTGGACAAAAGGGTGCTCAGTCCCTTGGAGATGGCGGGGGCCTTTGGGCCGATTCCTCGCTACTTTTTAGCAGTTTCACGCCCGTGCGACTTCTTAGACATACTGAAACGTGACCACAAAACATCAAAATAGGATCACAAACTCAAAAATATCCCTTAATAAAAAAACGAAGACTTTAAGCGACGGAAAAGGTTCGTTGACTGGGAGGACCGCTGTGACTCGATTGGTATCCTCCTGGACGAGCAAAATCCTGGCTAGGCCACTCACCAGTTCTGAACCCGGAATTACGTTTTGACGGTTTTTTTCAGTAAGGAGAAAAGTTTACCACAGGCAACCCGTTTTCGCCTTCGAGACACCGTCATGACCGTGCAACATTTTGCATTATCACACACGCAATGCCGCGCTCGTGGTATTGCGTATGTGGTTTAAGTGGCGATCCCAGTTTGACCCTGGGAGGGCCCGGGACTGGGGCAGTCCCGGGACTGACACGCGCCAGTCCGGTCCGGCCGGGCGGCCGCCGCCCGCCGGGCGATGGCGTTCCCCGCGCGCCGGTGACAGCGGTCCGTCCGCCGGCGGCAGCACCGTCCAGGCGGCGTGGGCACCGTGCGAAACCGACGCTGCCGGCACCCACGCCAGCACCAACAAAATGGCAGCGCCACCACGACCCCCAGCACCACACCGCCCCGTCCCCGACGGGGGGCAGGAAGGCGGAAGCGCTGCCGCCACCCGCCAGCTGGCGTCGCCGGGTATGAAGGCGCAACTTCGCTGCCAGCCACACTGGGTGCGTCTGACGCAACATGTCGACGCCAAACATGCCCGCCGAAGTACAGCACTGCGAGCGATTACTAACAAAACACAAACTGTTTGTCATGCGTCCATACTGTCGGTGCATACCACTGGCGGAACCGGTGGAGGAGCGTGCACTCCGGCTACGCCTCCCCACCCCCACACCCACCTGGCCAAGTCAAACACTGATGAAAACCAGTATGTCCTTTCCCCCAAAGCTCTCTGAGAAAACGTAATAAAAAGGTTGCGTTGTCTTTACATACGCATCTTGCTGACACAGACGTCCAGTTCTAACTCGACATACAGCGATGGTTCAGTTCCCCAGGGGTGAGCCTGTCTTTGTGTGAGTGCATACATTCCACCTGTCTCAGAAACGGCGGTATGCAGCTCATGTCCGTTTGGCCGCTAATGGATCGAGGAAGGGGCGTTCCAGCCATATAGCTCCAAAGTGTGCTGATAAGCGAACATGTCTTTTGGCTCTCAAACTTCCCGTGGAATTAACGTACACGACCGCTCGCTCTGCGTACTTTGGCACCTTTCTGACCGCCAGCGATATGACGGGCCTTTTGTGACGCAATGCTTTTATCAGTGATCTGGCTTTCGCCGTCCGCGTTTTTGTAGAAGGAGGGGAAGGGAATGTACTGTCGAAAAGTTCAGGACCGCGGCATACGTGTCGTCGTTTGGCACACTTGTGTATTCATTCGAAGGATTCCTCTCAGATTGCTGCAGCGCTGCAGTCACCGTGGATAACACAGCTTTCTGCAGTAAGGGACAGTGTGCTCATATCATTCGCTACCTTACTTGGTAAGGAGTCGGCGACAGCGGTGCCTACATCACGGTACATGTGCCGGTGCGGCGGTACACGTGCCAGTGCGGCGGTACACGTGCCAGTGCGGCGATGCACGTGCAGGCGCGGCGCACACACGCCTGGCAAATATGCAGCACACCACCGCGGGCGTATCCAAGCGAGGGCATTCCACCCCTGCACCTTTCACTTCCAGCAGCGGCAGGTCCAGAAGCTTCAGTGAGCGAGAGCGGCTGTACTCGGATTCTCCCTCCCGTGGCTGGGTGGGTTCGATTCGCTTTAAGCTCCCGTCGTCTGCCTCTGAACGAAATGACCTGTGACCGTTGGTATCGGCTCTGTTAAAGGTTAGGTGTGTCAGAGGGTAGGACGTGCCGAACCGAACGTTGTGGTGCCTTGACCATTGCCACAAAATATTGCCGTTGAACCGATGTTGTTTTGGTGTGGAGTTTCGCGACCGGATGATGGAATCAGAGCACCGCGAAAATACATGCCTCGCGATGCCTCTGATTGCAGGAATTCATCCATGGTATGCAAATAAGGTAGTGAGTTTCAAGGCAGATTTAGTGAATAGAAAGAAATCGCAAAGTTCCACAGGTCCCTCCGATATTAAGGTAGATCTCGCGTATTTGAGACCAGTGCTCAAGTAGTTATCAAAGTTTTAAGGACCTATGACCTACAGGCTTGGCCCCGAAGTCATGAACTAGTTTCCCTTAGTAACGTAGCAGGCTGGAAATTCGGAGAAATGGTCTCAAAATACGATACGAGCTTATTATGGCAAGTGAAGGCTCCTCCTCACAACCTTGTAAGAAGCCTGAAATAGAAACAGAGCCACACGACAACACGTGATGACATAGGCGGGGAGGGGGGGGGGGGGGGCTTCCGCAACGAGCGTCGACGCCACGAAATGCTCTTAACAACCAGGACGAGTTCAAATTCCTACAACGAGGTTAGGCCGATGTGGCCAGCCAGAAACCAACGCTCAGCATTTCCCACTGACTGTACATTTTCACGTGTAGCTTTGGGTGCCTAAATAAAACTTTCAACACGCAACGTTATTTTATATGGCAACTTCGAAGCATGCTGCACGAATCGCTGTCCAGCAGACCGGGCGGCAGTCAGTGCACATCTTTGGTAGGATCTGCCCCCTTGGAATGCCTGTGCAATTACAAAAAAAAACCTCCATCACATATCATGCGGTATGAAACCATAACCGACGCTGTAAATTTCAGCTTTCCGTTGCCTTAACAAACAGCACATAGCAGGCACAATGCAACGAACAGAAGCCATGCCCCCAATAGGTTATGAAATTGCCCATGAAAGTGGCAACTCAACGTTTGGTTACGCTGAAGAAATTAGTTTGGCAACCACTCCATGGCACATATAGCGCAAAATGCATGCATTGCGTCCGTTGCGCATTGTTTGAGAACTGTCTGAAATTGTAGGACCGAGTTAGGGATGTAGCAGTTGACATTGTTGTGGATGGTGCGAACAGTATTCACATATTTCAAGTAGCGAATCTTGCACACGAATCGGCACTATTCGGCATATAACTGACTAAATGCGATGCCAAGTAAACGAATGTGTCATGTCGGAAGGACAGTGCCAATTCATAAAGTCAAACGAGCACAAGAAAGATTGTGTGTATACCTGGTGTTGGTTTTTAAGTGCTTAACACCCGTTGGCCACACTTTTCAAGCCGAAAACACCTCAAAATAACAAGTGAAAAGACAAAGAAATACAGCTGTGCTTGACAGCAAAATAAAGCGAAATACATCCTAGATTTCAGAAGGTTTCAAACACCCTATGCTTTATTTACCCCAAACTCATCGTCTGGGTCAGTCCGTGGTGCAAACCAATGCCTCCTGCACCTGACGCGGAAACCTTAGCCTGCCACAGCGTGCATCATGGGCCGACAGCAGCAGACAAGTGGACATCAACTCTCAATGGGCATCAACTCTTTACAAAAAACAATAGTCCTGTCCTTGTTTGATTTGTTTGCCCTTGTTTGATTAGTGCCTCACTATGTTTCACCGCATCCCACAGTCATTTTTGATAACCTTCTTCCCTGTTTTGGAACAGTTCATGCCAACCACACGTCTGGTGCAGGGTTTCTCCATTTTCACCCACTCGAGGGCCTGCAAGAAACCGCAGACCTGTTGTAGCTGCCACTGAAGGACTCCAAGGACGGGCAGAGCGCGGTTGCCTCCAGCGCCGAATAACGTTGTTATCGTCGCTTCCCCACCCACCATACCGTTGATCCGGCCTTCAGATTATTTTGACAATAACCGTGACGTGTGCCTGCTAATATCAGACAAATGCCAGCGAGATGGAATGAAGATAAGCATCTTTTTCACACCACATTGCTTCTAAAGATAGCCCTAGCCTGTGGCTTAAAAATGGAAGACAAACAGCTGTATGATCCAATTGACAATTTCAGCAGCCAAAATGCTCACATGATACAGCATACACACACAGCTGGAAGCCCATCCCGGGAAAGACACTTCAAAAGGTCCAGCCATGGTCGGAGAGTCTTGTGGAAAGTTGGTTGGATTAAACCGCTCTGGTAAGCAACAAACTGTGGTTAAATGTTAGTTTGCAGCAATTTTGATGGGAGTTGGTATTGCTGCTGTATCCATTATCATCACTGTGTCCATCATCAGTTAATTGAGCATTTCATTTACCATAGGCTACCTCGGCATTTAATTAATCATCAGTAAATTGAACGTTCTATTCATTGTCAGTTAACTCAGCGTTTTATCCATTATTGGCTAATTTAGCATATTATCCATTATCAGTTATCTACATTCCAGCTCTCAGCTGATTTGTCTTGGTAACCTTTTGAAGGCCGGTTGATTAGAAATTAATGATTTAAACACGAACACCCCCAGCACGCCTGCAGACACGTCTCTGCAAGTCATGCGTCTCTGATTACGCTCATCCATTCCGCCAGTAGACGGATTCATTGACCCTCCACTGGTGGAGCACTTAGATTGTTAGACCCATATGCCAGCTCAGCGCCACCTGCACCGTCCGGAGCAGGTGCGGCAGCCGGTGCTGTACAGCAGCAGGCGTCGGCCGGCGCGCGTGACTGAGACGGAGGGCAGCTTCAACGTCTCGGTCGTCAGGCTGCGGGTCGCCTATGTAGATGCCGTCTTACAGCATAGATATATTGCGCAAATGTCTGGCCCCGGTCAGGGCGCGCCTGCAGGACTCCTAGTCGCCAGTGCACGCTTCCGTGGACGGCGACATCTCCAACCACGCATCCCGCATAGCCACCGGTGCCCGTGGGCGGCGACGCCCCCTGCACCGTCAGGGAAGACAGCACCGGCGCCGAGCTCAGGTAGCAGGCAATCTGACGGGAGGTGTGTGCCTCCGCAGCGTCGCCAGGCGCCGAGCTCAGCTGGCAGGCAAACTGACGGGAGGTGCGTGCCTCCGCAGCATTGCCAGGCGCCGAGTTCAGGTAGCAGGCAAACTGACGGGAGGTGCGTGCCTCCGCAGCGTCGTCAGGCGCCGAGCCCAGCTGGCAGGCAAACTGACGGGAGGTGCGTGCCTCCGCAGCATCGCCAGGCGCCGAGTTCAGGTAGCAGGCAAACTGACGGGAGGTGTGTGCCTCCGCAGCATCGCCAGGCGCCGAGCTCAGCTGGCAGGCAAACTGACGGGAGGTGCGTGCCTCCGCAGCATCGTCAGGCGCCGAGCTCTGGTGGCAGGCAAACTGACGGGAGGTGTGTGCCTCCGCAGCATCGCCAGGCGCCGAGCTCAGCTGGCAGGCAAACTGACGGGAGGTGCGTGCCTCCGCAGCATCGCCAGGCGCCGAGCTCAGGTGGCAGGCAAACTGACGGTAGGTGTGTGCCTCCGCAGCATCGCCAGGCGCCGAGCTCAGCTGGCAGGCAAACTGACGGGAGGTGTGTGCCTCCGCAGCATCGCCAGGCGCCGAGTTCAGGTGGCAGGCAAACTGACGGGAGGTGCGTGCCTCCGCAGCATCGTCAGGCGCCGAGCTCAGCTGGCAGATAACCTGACGGGAGGTGCGTGCCTCCGCAGCGTCGTCAGGCGCCGAGCTCAGGTGGCAGATAACCTGACGGGAGGTGCGTGCCTCCGCAGCGTCGTCAGGCGCCGAGCTCAGGTGGCAGGCAAACTGACGGGAGGTGTGTGCCTCTGCAGCGTCGTCAGGCGCCGAGCTCAGCTGGCAGATAACCTGACGGGAGGTGCGTGCCTCCGCAGCGTCGTCAGGCGCCGAGCTCTGGTGGCAGATAACCTGACGGGAGGTGCGTGCCTCCGCCGTCAATCCGCAGCTTGTCACGACCCGGTTCAGCACAGCCCCGTGCGCACGCCTTCCCATCGCAGCGCATCACAGCCCGCTGGCCATGGTGTGGACGTCGTCATCGCTCACCACGTGATGGCTTCACCTTGTCACCGCGTAACGGTGTCACTATGTCACCATGTAATGGTGTCACTATGTCAACTCGCGCAATGTTTGGCGGTCAGCGGGCGTTGAGTTTGCCGCTTCATAGTGGCATTCATGAGGGAGTCATTTTGTCATCCCAATTTGCGAGTGCGTGTGTGTGTGTGTTTGTGTTTTTTTTCCACTGATTGGACAGATGGACCTCAGTGGTTTTGGAGCGCGTCTCCATGGTTCTCATGTCCCAGAAATATGTTATGCCGACGACCTAATTACACTGTCCAGCAATGCGCACCATCTGAGTCGTGTGCTTAGGATTGTTGGAGTGTTCGCTTCCCGGTGGCGTTCAAAGTTTGTGCTCCTGATTCGGCACTCACTAAAGGCTATTGTGTTGTTTTGGGGGCGGGGGAGCGGACTCTTACTAGCTGAACGGGAATGGCGCCTGTGTGGGCAACGATTGGTCGTGCGTGCCCAGACCGAGCGTCTGGGTGTCGTGCTTGATTAGGATCTGTTCAGCGGGCCTAACGTGGACGCAAGTCTGCACCTCGCGCGAAATTCATTTTACGCTCTGGCACCAGCCGGGTATGCCGAGTCGCCGCTTTCCGGCACAAGAGAAAGGTTAGTTGTGGCGCGTTATGTGGACTCAGCTGTTCTTTTTGGGAACGCACAGATAGCTTTGACCAGGGCGGGCATTGGGCGCATAGAGGTCTGGCATGCATCTGCCTTAAAAGCAGCCGTCGAGCTTCGGTGGCGAGCACACAACACAACCCTTCTCAGGGCTCTGCGTGTCTCGCGCATACGGGATGAGACACGATCTGCTGCGCTCAAGATGTTCAGCAGCCTGCCTCGCTCTCCACATCGCTTGCGCCAAGTCGTTTGAGGGCTCTAGTCGTGCTTGCCTTTCGCCCGGATGGTCTCGTTAGAACTTTTGCCGCATCCGCTTTGCTGCTCTGCGGGCAGGGTTGGGGGCGGCTAGTCAACTGGGCCTGCGAGAGGATGGGCAGCTGCCTCCCTTCTTCAGTACGACCCCGGTGTGGTGTAGTTGAGTCTATCAGATGGTTTTTGACAAGAACCGATCTGGTCAAAGAGCAGAAGGCTACTGTACCTTCTATGTGTGGATTGGTGAGGCGACCCGTGCACTGAATTTATGTAATATGCATGTGCATAACTGTGTCATTTCATTGTATGTTATCCGACAGGGAAGTAAACAAATGATGATAACGATGATGATTGCGTGGCGTGGCTGCTGATCTCAGAAATCGATGCCATCAAAAGCCCTGGTCTAAATCTTAAAAAAATTGCGAGGAAGACACACGCTTTGTGGTTATTGGTATAACTGATTCAGGATGTACAGATAAGCATCTGTTGAAAATCGTAGAGCTCTGGCAACTTTGAACATTTGAACATTCACCAGCGCACGTGCTCCGGCCGGGAGACATGTACGATCGCTTCTCATGCCTCTTGAAGGCGTCTGAGAAGTTTCACGTGGTTCAAAATGTCCAAAAGATTAAGATCTCCCAGGTTTGATGTGGTGTTTACAAATCGTAGTTGAAGCTCTTGCCGTTTACGAGTAGTCGCCAGGCAACAGTGGACGGATGAGGCATGCATATGAGCACTTTGTTTTTAATAGTTTAGGAGATTAGTAGCTTATACGCGATCACGATACGTCACTGTGGCCTGGATATTTCAACAGCGTGTGATCAACCGTGTTTTTTGTCTGTTACTTAGGTAAGTATCAAACATGCTACCAGCAATGAGGAACAATCATATTGTGTACTTGGGTAAAATACCTAATCCGAAATATGCCGGACTCAAAAGTGAAACGTGTATTAGCCCGATAACAAATAAAAAAAGCAAAATAACCAGCTCTGAAAACTCATGCTTTGCGTTTGTTAGTTGGTGCCCAGCTCAGGCCAATATCAGGATCCAGGCTGTGTTGCTACTGACAAACAGCAGCACAAGTCGATACCAACTCAGTGCAAGTCTAAGTGCAATGCCATCTCACTCACCCTCTGTACGTCACCTGTTCACTACTCATACGCGCTAGACGGTTACCGCTTGGATAGCTGCCAGCAGATTTGTGATCCTGGCGTCTTTCTGGACACCAAACTCACCTTTGCCAATCACATAGATTCAACTGTCTCAAAATCAAACAGGATGCTGGCCGGGCCTTCTCATGCGGAGCTTGCAAATACCGTCATGCCATCGCCAAGCGCGGTTCAGTGACAAGGCTTTGCTTTGTGCCTTCAACGCTCATGCGAGATCATTGAACGAGTGCCGTTGCGTTATTTGGAGCGGTGTTGCCGTTTCCCATTTCGCCAAAATATCCAAAAGAAAGACTACAAAGGTACAGTGCGAAAGACTACAACAACGCTTCCTGATGTGGTTGGGTTCTAATAGCCAGACCTGGTGTCCTCCCCTGGATTATGAGCATCTTCTCGCTTTCTTCAAAATGGCATCCATGAAGGCACGCTTTGCTCAGTCTGACATCTTATTTCTGTACAACGTATATCATCACGGGCTTGACAGCGCTCACTTGACATCACTGTTCAGCATGGCTACACCCCTCCGGCATATCGGCCTTTTCGGGCGTGCTATTTCCAAAGGTAAATGTTATATAAATGTTATAAGTGGATTTGACTGTTATAAATGGATTTGTCGCACGACCACCCGCTGTCTGCAATCAATGTTTGCAGTATTCTCTCTCAACTGACTTTTTCATCCAACAAAATCATTCCGATCTGATTTGTTTAGGTTTGTCGGCACATTCTCTTCATGACTTGATGTGCAACTGTGTATAGTGTGTAGGCACGCGTGTGTGTGTTTGGTTAGGCTTTTTGCTTGTGTGTGTATCGTATATTTATTGTTCTTAAAACTGGACTGATCCCGTAATTGGGTTTTTGCCTATGGAACACTTATGCCCTAAAGAAACAATAAACAAATAAACACAAGAAATTCTTTAACTCATCAACATCAGTCACTAACTGGGATAACCTGACTAATGACAGGTACCGAGCACGTACGTACTCCCGATGGGTATAACACAACGAATGACACGAAGGCAGATATATACGCAGGTAAGTCGAAAGGTGCGTTGGTATCCTGGGTATGGCATCCTAGTTACCTGCTGTCATGGCAGCTCATGTAGCTCAGAAGTAGCTGGCAGCCATAGTCAGCCAGCTACTTCTCTTTAAGGCCGGGCCCTGTTTGGTGTTGTTGGGACCTGTCTGGCGACAGCTCACAAACAATACGCGTGATTAGCACGCACTCGAATGGGGGGGGGGGTCAAACTGACCACCCAAAGGTTTTTCCGAAATGGTTTCCGAACGGCGCGGTGTAGCCGCGCCAAATTTTGCATGCCTGTGGACAATGGAATAGCGGATTGTCTGGCATAAAAAATTGAGATGTACCTTGTAGGGTCGTGGATCTATGGCAGGTCAAATTTAGGCCATGGTTTCAGCGAAGCCAATTTCGACGGAGTGTTAGACGAAGCCATACATCTATGAGATACTTTCTTAGGTAACACAACAATTAAATGAGAAAATTGCATTGGCCTAGGGTCAGCTATGAATGTCAGACCAAGGTCAAACCAACCTGTTTTCATGCTCTAGGGCTTGTCATGTGGGATAGTTTCCGGCACCCATTTCGTATTTATTAATAACAGGAACCGCATTATTCATCCTCCACGGACTTTTCAAAGGTCACAGTAGGTCACTGACCTTGAATATCCATGTCAGCATTTATTTTATCCAAATCGTAATCTAATCTTTTTCAAATGCAAAACTCAATGCCGTCTTGAATAATTTTGGTTACCATGACGTTCAAAAGGTTAAACAAGGTCACGGGCCTTAAATGAGTACGCGACCTTTTGCTTAGAACAGTTATCTAAGTTCTAGGAACCCTTTGGAGACCAACCTGGAATTTGACCTTGTTTGACCCTCTTTGACACGAAGGTCATGACCTAGGAACCTCAAACATTAGTCCAAGTGAGTTTACGTACAGGTTAATACACCCGGTGAATTTAGTGTCTTAAGCTTTCTTAGTTCCTGAGATCTCAGGAGGGGTCAAATCAATCTCCCCCCACACCCGAGCGAAATATACCCAACGAGCCACGCGGGCACGTCGTAACCTTGTAATAACAACTCTGAAAAAGATAATATCCCAACCAGCTTGCTTATATTCAGTAGGAGCTTTCGGGACAATCCATATCTCTTTTACAGCCTTGGTCAAACTAGAAGCCTTGCTCAATTTTTTTAAAAACATTATGATAACTCTAATTTCAAAAGCAATTGCACGGTACTCTCGGCTGTTCTTCGCGATTCTAGTCGGTTGGCTGCTGCAACTACACTGAATGACTGAAACTGAGTGCGATAAGTCCTTGTATTTGGTCCGACGACATTCCTGAGGAACCTTTTTACAAGATCTTGTTCTTTTTTTCTATGCAAGTGGAACCCGATCATAGAAGTCCTTCAATTATAAGTACAGAAAAAGAATATGATGAAAGCGACCACTTGTGTACTGCACGGAATGATCCATTTGTGTACTGCACGGAATGATCCATTTGTGTACTGTACGGAGTGATTCATTTGTGTACTGCACATAACAAGTACTCTGTGCACTGCACAGAATGACCTTCAAAAGGGCTATCTCAGTTAAAAGACCATACCGATGTGGATAACTCACTTTAAAAGCAAGGCAATAGTCGCAATCGAGCTTATGCCATTACATCCGTTGCTGGCCCCAATATCACTAAATGTGAAACATTCCATTTAATAAGTCTTGAATAAATAAACCTGCATCAGAATGACGCTCCTAAGCGTGTATCATATAATGCCGCATGACAAATCCTAGCAGCAGTAAACGAAGTATCACACATCCGCCAAGTACTGGCCAAGCTGCTAACATGCTTACTGCGGTCACTAATCAGTCCTTTTCTATTT